AAGATTGGAAGTAACTTATAAGGCTACAAGACCATATTTCAGAAAGGACTACCAAATTTGAAAGCTTAGATATAAGTGATATAAGAGATGCAGAGAATGATATTATAGGGAAGTATACCAAAATAGGACTAGTAAAGAGTAAAAAAAATATCAGGTAAATGCTATCTATAAGGATATACCATTTTGGTAGATTTGAATTGCAGATAATTGAATCAGTAGTCAGATAGTAGATAGAATACCTATTATGCAAGTCACAGTTTTGGCTAGTGCATTGGTTATTAATAGAAACCGAGTCTGAGCTTGGTATATTTGATTTGTATAAAATACATAAATATAGTAATGTATATAATGAAAGTATTAACATTAAATAAAGTCATAGGCAAGATCTCACCTAAACACCAAAAAAAAATAATAATTTAACTATTATATAATTTCACAAATATATATATTTGTGAAATCATATGATAATTTTAAATAAAAAAAGACAGTCTGCACCTCTATGTTTTGTACATAATAACAAATCTAAATTTTTAATATGTTGTGTTAGATACTTGAAAATGACCTATCTAAAATGCAATTATTGACTATTATAATTGTACAGTCACGTTAATTAATATACTCTAATATAAATAACTTTAAATATATATTATTTATATCCTAACTATCTAAAATTTGAATGTACTATAAGTAATTTGAGAAGAGCTATTCATTTTAGATAATTTAGATTTAACAAATATTAATAATTATAAAAAATAAATAATTATTCATAAATACTGTTGTAATGTAATACCAATCATTCATAGTAATGAATTCAAAAAAAAAAAAAAAAAATAGTCAGCTAAATATACTGTTAATTAATATCTTATTATTTATCAATTTCTTTTTAATAATTTGGGCTTAAACAAATACCAAAATTATTAAAATTCGTTTGAACCCAAAATTATTAAAAACGAATCAGATGGTTTTAAAATATTAATACTAAAAGACAATTTTTTGGTTAGATTTTTTTCTGCCTTAATTTTTGTAAATAAAATTTTATAAAGCCTAATTTATTTTTTATAATTAGGTGAATCCTATAATAATTATCACAAATTAAAACAAAATCTGATTAAAATGAAATTTTTCTGTTTTTTAAGGAAATTTAAAATTTTTTAGAAGACATTTTTTGGGGTTCTTTTTAGCATTAAGGGTAGGATTTAGAATTAGATTTATTAATAAATAAGTATAAGTAGGTTTTATAGGCTTTAAGGATAGATATAAGAGGTCTTCAGTTTCATTTTAATTAGATTTCATTTTAATCTGCAACAATAATTGGCATTTATTAACTCCAAAATTATCCAAAATGAATTAATCATTTTCAAATTACCTAAAGTATATACAAATTCTAGATATTTATAGCATGAACTATATAAGCAATATCTGCTGTATAACTACTTCTATAATTCATCAAAACTTTTTTGTTATATATTTTTAGAAGCATCAAATTAAGATTTACCTGCTCAAATTTTATCTAATAGAGCAAATCCTTCTATTTTTTGTCCAGGCCAAGTATCTTTTTGCTGATGGATTTAAACAATTTTTAATATATAGTCATATCAGTTCCTAACTATTGCTTAGTGATAGATGTTGCAAACTGATTCACAAGATTTGTGATAATTATGACATTTCTTGAAATAAGTGAATTGACTTTCAGTTTTATATTCTTGACATGTAGCAAATTGTTTGAGATTAATATTCCTTTTATAAATAATTAAATTTTTTAAAAAATTTTTAAAAATTAAAACATTAAGAAAATTTTTAAAATTTATTTACTAATTTAAGGATAGGGTATATAAATTTCTAATTTCATATAAAATAGATTGTAGATTAACTTTGTATAACTAATTTTATATAATATCATATGATTTACATATAAACATTATATGATTTGACCAATTAGAATTAGCAATTTTTTGTACTATCTAGAAAAAACATATAGCGATCTAGGAAAATTTAATTATATGTGAAGTTGATTTTTTTTAAAACAACACATATCCTAAAACTTCACTAACATAAACAAACTAGTTTAAACTATATACTATTTAAATTTAAAAAATTAACTAAGATGTCAAAAAGATTTATTAGAAGCATTTTTTATTTACTATGTAAAAATCTAATATACTATGCAGATCATATAAAAAATGATCTACGTATACTTTATCCTTAACTCTACAAATGCACAAAATATATTCATTTCTTCATACAATTGTCCTGAAATAAGAACTAGCTTTGGGTATTTATTTTTTATTTTAGTTATATAATGATAAAAAATACCATCACATATTATAGCTACTAATTTATGTATTCTGTTTTTAACTTCTATTATATTTTCAATGTAAGAAAGAACTTTTTCAATATTATAATTATATTAGAATTAATATTAAAGGGATCATGAATAAATATTTTAGAAGTATTAACTTCTTGATTAGCAACCGATTTTGGAATCATACTAATTTTTAGCATGGTATATAAACTATTTTCCTTTTTGATATTGTAGGATTTAAAAATACTTAATTTTAGGTCTCCTCCAACCTATCCTAGCTAGAAATTAATTTGAAATAATTAACTATAGCATTTTATAGAAAATAGGTGGTGTAATGTCACATTGGGTGCCTTATATAATACAAATATAGTTAGAAATCTTTAGTTTTAGAATTATTTTTCTATTTGTAATAAAGTTTCTACTATGGCATTATATTAATAAAAAAAAAAAAAAAAAAAAAAAAAAAAAAAAATACTTAATTGGTTTGTTGTACCTTCTTTCAAATCAAAAGTATATTATTTTGGCAATTCTAATAAATTAGGTATCTAGGCTCTACATTTTAGACAAACTTGCTTTCAATTTTGATATTTGATTCTTTACAATTAGAACACTATTTGCTGCAATAATTATTGATACTAAATTATTGACAAGAGAATCAATTTTGTTAGTTGTAAATAATTTTTTTTAATACAATAAATCAATAATTTCAGAAAGATAAATAAGTAATTTCTTATTCAACACTTCATACATCTTAGATGTAATGTTAAATAGACTTTCATAATATAACCTATTAAGAGAATCAGATATCCAAGATATATTTGTATATTGAATATAATTTTGTACCTCTATATTAAACACAAGAAAACTAGTTACTATATGAAATATTACTATATTAGATCTTTAGTCAAAATAGTTTTTTTGTTCTCATTGTTTGTTTTCAAATATCATAAATAAAAGTTTTTTAGATAAAGGTTCTTCTTCTTCAGATAATTTGCCTAACTAGTTTGAAAATAAGAATAACAATCTAAATTTGTAATATGACTATTTATATTAATAACTGTCTTTAATCACACAATAAAATACTGTATTTGATAGCTAATATCACAAAACTTATTTTTGACATATATTTTCTATGTCTAGATCTGTATATTAAATCAATGATAATGGTTCTTTTGTAAAGTTTTTCAATATTCAAAAGATTTGAATCAAGATTATTATAAATTAGTATTTTTGTAAATTTTACAATAACTTAATTATAGGGTGTGGTGACTTAGTGAAGTAGTGAAGTTGTTATACTTCCAAGTGGCAGGATTAGAGTTTGGATCCCACCAATAACGAAAAATTTAAATTTTAGAAAGTGTTACGGCAAACTGTAAGTGTAATCAGATAGATTGGTATTTGTAATATAGTTGTACTAGTTGCACTGAGAGAATGTAAAACATAGTGTAATGCATAAGTTACACAAAATCTAAGTGAAACAGCTGTGTAAATTTAAAGTTGGCATATATAGAAGCCTACTTGGCAAGATCCGAATAGAGAGGTAGTACAGATCTTTAATAATACTATGTAAAAGATTATCAACTAGGAAACCGGAAAACCAAACAAGACCAAAATATTTGGCAAGACACTCCACTAACCTGACTATTAGAGAGTAATCGGAGGAAAAGAACCTAACTGTGGAGACCAAGAGCAGGTTACAGCTCTTCCGAACCATCTAGATTAGAAGTTTGGAATGATAGATATATAGGAGATAATCTGTATAGTGGATGCTAAGGTTTGGTGAACTCTATAAGGGCAATAGTAGGTAACAGTAGTGGTTTCAGCTTGCAAGTACTTGTTCTCAGACTCGGTGTAAGTTACCGAAAGTCTAGGTCTGCCAGATTTGTGGGTACAGAAGGTTCTAACAGGTTTACTTTAAGGATAAAGAGTTCAATAGAAGCCTGCTTTAAAGTTCTAAATCAGGTGTTTGAAAATAAGAGAATACTATATATTCTCACTTAATTAAATGATTAATGTATAAAGCAATATATGTATAGTTTGGTATACCATACTGTAAAAGTTAACAATAATCAAATAAAAGGAGACAACCAAGAGGTCACCTTAATATCAAAAAAAAAAGCAATTATCTAATTATATTTATTTAGCTATGTTTGTAGAAAGTAATTTAATAGAATTTTTAATAAAAATCTAGTATTGTTTCCTATAATAGAATCTATATCTTTGTATAGAGATTTCTATTTATTTAATACAATATCGGTAATTGCTTGTATATATTTTTCTGGTTGCAAATCAAAAATTTCATTGGCTGTTAAGATTTTGTTTTCTTTATATAACTCTGATTCAAATTTTTTAATTAAATAATTTCTTTCTGATATTCATATAAATTGATTTTTTTAAGCTGAAATTTCCTATTCCTGATTTTTTATTTGTCATTGTAATTCAGCAATCTTATTATTACGCTTTTCAAATTACTGTATTCACTGATTTTCATACATTATACTGGGAATCAGAAATCTAGAAAAAATGCCAATACGTGATTAGCTAAAAATTATTTTTAACCAATTACAGATTTGCATTTATCTAGATTTCTGATTTCTGATATGATGTATAAAAATCAGTAAACACAGTAATTTGAAAAGTGCAATAATAAGGTTTGCTATATATTTATTAATTTTTGATTTAACATTTCTATCATTTCTTAAAACTTTCCAAACTCTTTTAATAGATATAACTTGTCACTAACAATTATCTCTTTATACATACTAGAGTCATAAACTTTATAAACACTAGAATTGTAAACCTCTTGAATGCTAGAACTACTGACTTCGTAAATATTAGAATCCTGAATAGAAACAGAATCATCTAAAATATTAATATCGATTCATGATTTCATGTTTTTAAAATAAAAACTTTTGAAAGCCACTGATAAAAATAATTAATGCCTACAACTTGATTATAGTGCTTTTTGCAAATTGAATAAAATTTTAAAAAAACTAAAGATTTGCAAGCTCAGTTATAAAACTATAATACAATAAAAGTCGCTTAGCTGTTTTTTAAATATCAACATATCTCCAAATCTGTTTTTCTTTTGTTTTGCAAAGTTCTAGTTTAAGGGTTTTATTATAAGTACCAACTAAATCCTTAAATATACAAGAAAGATCTATAGCTTTTGGTCTTTGTGCAGGTTGTGACATTGTTAGATTTTAGTATAAAATACTGTAAAAACTAAAAACATTAATATTTCAGCAGTAATATTATAACTTCTTTACATAAATTCTTAAGTTTTTGCTTCTCATTTACTTTGTTAATCTGGGTTGATTATAAAAAGTTGTCGAATAATTATAAAATTAGAAGAGCTTTACTTTTAGTTTGTATAGTTGTTAGTCACAGTCTAGTATTATGGAAATTTTCTATTTCAAATTAAAAAATAAAAAAGGCAAAAAAAGTGTTAATCAATAGTCAATCAAAATTTCGTAGATCATTCTAGATTCGATTTCCATATTTGGTAAAACCCCTGACTGTAATGTTAGGGTTAATGTCTATAGTAAGGTTAGAAGTTAGATAATTATATAGTAAACTCGCTCAAAGAAAACGTTTGTAGGGCACTAAAGCTGGTTTCTTATAAAAAATAAGCGATTTTTGACAAAACGAATGACTGTTTTGAATTTTCCTGGTCGTGTTATGTGACACATGATCTTGAAATCTGATTCGTAGTTTAGACAATATGCGCCATAGTTGCGCCACAAACCTGGCACATATTTTAGAATTGTCTATTACCGTACTGCTGTACTGTACTTTAAACAGTGTTATACGATAGAATCTTGTCAAATTATTGTGTATAACCTTAGATTTACTAATTTGACTATTGCATCAAGAGACGTTACGCGCTGTAATACATATATATATATTCTCAATAAATTTAATGAATCCATATGCAACATAATCCTTTTTCACGTCAAAATGTCAATTGTAAAGCAACTAGAAAAAATCAACAATTCATCAGATGTTACTCAAATATCCAACGAAGTTATCCAATTGCATTTAGAAGACGATAAGAGTTTTGTTAATGAAATTATTAAAGAAATGTGTAATTTATATAATGAAGAAAGATCAAAATTCAAAAGCTCCGAATCAATTCTTGAAATATTAGAAAGATTTCTATCAAAAAAGAAGCAAAATCCAGATAATGTTATTAGCTGCTGCTTAGATAATCAATTCGATCCCGTGATTTATAACATTCTTGCAAGTTGTTATCGTTATGGTAAATGGGTTGAAAAGGATGGACATAAAGCATTTAGTTATTATCAAAAATCTGCAACGATGGGAAATTCTGATGGAATATTTTTCATTGGAGTCTGTTATGACTATGGAATTGGAGTTGAAAAGGATGAACATAAAGCATTCATTAATTATCAAAAGTCTGCAGAGATGGGGCATGCTAATGGAACATATAATGTTGGATACTGTTATGATGAGGGAATTGGTGTTGAAAAGGATAAACATAAGGCATTCATTTATTATCAAAAATCTGCAGAGATTGGTAGCGCTAAAGGAACATGTAATGTTGGATATTGTTATCGAAATGGAATTGGAGTTGAAAAGGATGAACGTAAGGCATTCATTTATTATCAAAATTCAGCAGAGATGGGGAGCGCTAATGGAACATATAATATTGGATACTGTTATCGAAATGGAATTGGAATTGAAAAGGATGAAAATAAGGCATTCATTTATTATCAAAAATCTGCAGAGATGGG